GGGGGGGGGGGGACACGGGCCAGGCAGGAGGTCACAGCCAGGAGAAAAGTAAGGAAAAAAACATCCGGGTCCCTGCAATCCCCTAGACCCCCGGCATCCGGCGCCTACCTCTTGTCGGCCAGGTCGGTCTTGTTGCCCACGAGCATGATGATGACGTCACTGCCCCGCTCCGTCCTGACGTCATCGATCCACTTGGAGGTTTGCTGGAAGGAATTGAGATCTGGAGGTGGGAGGGGAGAGGGATGGGGCGTGAGCGAGACCGGGCTGGCCAGGCCTGGGTGGGTGGGGTCATCTCCGGCTCTCTCTCTGCAGGCTTGGACAGCCCTTTGGGGGCTCAGCTGCCTTCTGGGGCAGGGTGGGAGGGGAGGGTGAGAGTCTCACACACACACACCTGCAAAGTCATGCATGGTAGTGATCGCTGCACACACACACACACACACACACACACACACAGGGGCCCGGCCTGCCCCCTCCTGGACACCATCTATCTGCAGCACAGACCGTCACTCACTTGTGATGTCATACACCACCACGGCCACCGTGGAGTCCCGGATGTAGCTGGGAATCAGGCTGCGGAATCTCTCCTGGCCGGCTGTGTCCCAGAGCTGCAGACGGACCTGCAGGGCGAGGGAGGTGGGGGTGTCAGCCGGGGTGGGGGGTTCCCAGCCAGCAGAAGGGGGGGACTAGGAGGACATCACAAACCATCTGTGATGCTGGTACCACCACCATGAACCGGCTGTAGTTCTGGATTTGGAGCATGGGCTCTCTCTCTCTCTCTCTCAGGTTACCCAGCTCAAGGTTCTGGGGGGGAACCCCAAGGGGCCCTCCCTTGCCCCCCACATCCTCCCCATGCTGAGATGGGGGTGCTCACCGTACGATCCTCCAAGTACATGGTTTTTGACAAGAAGTCGATCCCAATGGTGGCCTGTGAGGGAAGAGGCATGGCACGGTCGGTCGGCCATGAAATCGGGGTCTCTTGTTGCTCAGGGGAGAAAGCTCCGGCAACAGCAGGGGACCCCCCCAGCCCCGCCCCATGTCCCAGATGCAGATTCTATGCACCGGTCCACATATGTGACCAGAATCCTCAGCAGGGTCTTATATAACCCGGCTTGAACTCACTTGATATTTTTTTTTTTTGGCTTGCTCACAGCTGGTGTTCTACCACTTGAGCCACATCTCCAGCCCAGCTTTTTGCCGGTTACATTAGAGGTGGAAGTTTTCTAAACTGTTTCGGTCTGGATGGCAGTCTCCTGAGTAGCTAGGATAACAGTCAGTAGCCCCCAGGGCCCAGCTGAAAGAGTTCTTTGTTTTTTGTTGGTCCTGGGGCTTGAACTCCAGGCCTGAGCTTCTTTTGCTCTACCACGTGGGCCACCATACAAGTTCTGGCTTTTTTTTTTCTGAGTAGTTTATTGGAGCTCAAAGTCTCACAAGACTCGCCCTGCCTGAACTGGCTTCGAACCTTGATCCTCAGATCTCAGCCTCCCGAGTAGCTAGGATAGACGCACAGGCGTGAGCCACCGATGGCCAGCTGGGTTAATATTTATTTACTTATTTTCTTGCATCCACATGCTGACAAGATACAATAACAAAGTCTGCTGGGGAAATCAGCACGGTCGTCTGCATGAATGATGGGAAGGGAAGGGAAAGGAAGCATAAGGAAGGGATGTGTGTTCCTCTAGCCTTGGCCACGACACTGGGATCGGGGACGGAGGAAGCATCCCTAAGTGGCTGAGAGCAGCTGGGTACCACAAGCCCCTTCACAATGAGCCTACTGTTCTAGCTCTGCGGCCTTCTCCCGGCCCACCACCCTCTTTCATGCAAATGAGCATGCAAATGAGCATGCAAATGGGGCCAGCAACACTTAGGGATGCAGACTGACAAGTGCAAGAGAGAGCCTGGTGGGAGGGGGTGAGGGGCTTGGTGTCTGGGAAACACACTGGACCAGCTGTGTCCTTGTGAGCAGTGGCAAGGTAATTGTGCCCTTGGCGGGGAGGGGGGAGGGGGATGCTGGCTCTCCAGGCCGACAGCTCAGGGACCTGGCTTCTAGAATGTTCATTTCGCCATCCAATGTATTTATCAATTGCCTTTTAATTTCCCCAGCGGCGGCGGCGGTGGGTCTGAATGATCAACGGAGGCAAATGTAACACTTTTCAAACGGTAAAAATAAGGGTTCCTAGCCGGACACCTGTGGCTCACGCCTGTCATCCTAGCTACTCAGGAGGTTGAGATCTGAGGATCACGGTTCAAAGCCAGCTGGGAGCAGGAGAGTCCGTGAGACTCTTCTCTCCCATGAACCACCAGGAAAATGGAAGTGGCTCTGTGGCTCTAGTGGTAGAGCGCTCGCCTTGAGCTGAAGAGCTGAGAGACAGCGCCCAGGCCCAGAGTACAAGCCCCATGATCAACCAAAAATAAAATTAAATAATAAATAAATAAATAAGGGTTCCTGGGTTGTTTTGCTGCTGCTGTGGTTTGGTTTGGGAAGTACTGGGGGCTAGACCAGGGATTTGAACTCAGGGCCTTTGTACTTGCTAGCCAGATGCACTGCTATCTCCTCCTTGAACCCCTCCCCCCACTCCTTCTAGCCCTGTTTGGTTTAAATAGGGTCTGAAGTTTACGCTCACACCAGGCTGAAAGGAAAGTGCAGTGTAGACAGAGACCAGGCATCTCAGGAGGTACCCGGATCTGCTGGAGAGGATGCAGGGTAGCGGCCATTTTATTCCCTTTGCAAAAACAGACTTTGGGGCAGAAGGAGGACGCCAGACATGAACTTCAAGGTTGTGGGGCTTGAACTCTGGGCCTGGGCGCTGTCCCTCAGCTCTTCAGCTCAAGGCCAGCGCTCTACTGCTTGAGCCAGGGCGCCACTTCCAGTTTTGGAGTGGTTAATACGAGATAAGAGTCTCAGGGACTTTCCTGCCCCGGGCTGGCTTTGAATCAGGATCCTCAGATCTCAGGCTCCTGAGTAGCTAGGATGACAGGCGTGAGCCACTGGTCAAACATCCAATCCAGAATGAGTAGAGGGGAAGGGACACACAGAGACACACAGAGAGAAGGAAGAAAGGGAGGGAGGGAAGGACAGAGTGGAAGGGAGGGAGAGAAGCAGGAAGAAGAGAGAGGAAAGGGGAGAAAGGGTGGGAAGGAGGGAGGAAGGGAAGGACAGAGGGAAGGGAGGGAAGATTCCATTCCAGGAAATGTCTGGGTCCCTCTGCTGATGAAATTTGAGCTGAAGTTGGGCGTGGTGGCTCACGCCTGTCATCCTAGCTACTCAGGAGGTTGAGATCTGAGGATCACAGTTCAAAGCCAACCTAGGCAGGAAAGCCTTTGAGACTCCTATCTCCAGTGAACCATTCAGAAAGCTGGAAGTAGTGCTGTGGTTCAAGTGGTATGGTAGAGCGCTGGCCTTGAGCTGAAGAGCTGAGGGACAGCGCCCAGGCCCAGAGTTCAAGCCCCACGACCGACAAACACAACAACAAGAACAAAAAAGAAATCAGGGCTGATTCTGCCACAATGGATAGGATATAGGGAATGACAGGTAACAGTTCACCCCCCCCCCGTAAAGCCCTGAGGGGAAGGGGGAGGAAATCTTGCCTACTTCCCATACACCTCGGTGTGCCTTGCGAAGAAAAACAAAAATGAACACCAACACATCCCCTCCTCTCCATCTCCAGAGAGTTCATTAAAGCGAGCTGCTGGTGGCGGCGCTCAGCCCGGGAACCCAGCTTCCCGCGCTCATTACCATCTTCCAGCGTTTCAAGGATGTCTACCGGCTGACAGCCAAAAATAAAAATGATCATGAAAGGGGGAGACGGGCCGGCGGTAGGGGGGCAGTGCTTTCTCTGGGTTTTCTCCACTCTGACTGTGACACAAGGTCTCTCGGTCTGATGGTGGCAGGTGAGACACAGAAGCTCCACGGGGACCATCTGTGGTTTCATGGTGGCCAGACGCTGTACAGCCAGGGATGCCAGGCGTTCCGGACCCTGGCCACGCCGGAGCCCAGCTCTGAGTAGAAGCCCCAGGGGCAGGGAGGGTGGGGAATCCTGATAGAGCCCCGCAGGTTCTCGGAGCTCAGGGTGATGTCTGATCTAGGCCTGGAGAAAGCTGGAAAACCAAGATGGAGGAATGTGCCAGCCAGTACCACCATGCCATGAACAGAGGCTGGTACAGCCATCTGTACTTGAACAAGCAGAGGGGAGGGGGGGCGGGAAGCCAGGGGGGACACTGGAGATGAGAATGGGGGGCAGGATTTCGAAGGAGTTTTGCCCACTAGTGCCAAGCACACCAACTAGCGAAGAACCTCCATGTTTTGATTTTTTTGGTCAGTCGTGGGGCTTGAACTCTGGGCCTGGGCGCTGTCCCTCAGCTCTTCAGCTCAAGGCGAGCGCTCTACCACTTGAGCCACAGCGCCACTTCTGGTTTTTTCTGCTTATGTGGCGCTGAGGAATCCGCTCTACCATTGAGCCACCTTCCCAGTCCAGCATTCCCTCTCTATCGTCCGTGTTTCTCTCTAGACAAACACTTCCTTTGGCCAGCCTGGGGGCCCGTACTCCAGAGGAAGCTTTTATTTTCAAAGCCAAATGACACCCCCCAGGAATCAGGGTTCATCCCAGTCTGAGATCGACTTAAACGGCCCTGGAGAGAGGCCAGCAGTTGCTTTAGGAAGCTTCTGTGGGTTTGGGCAGGATGAGGGGTAAGCCCCCTCCCCTTTCCCACCCTGAACCCAGAACCGCACCTGGTATGTGTTGTCAAAGCTGTCATACATGAACCTTGTGATCAGAGATGTCTTCCCGACTGCAAAACAAGAAGAGAGTTTGTCTCAGTGCGGGTGTGGGTGAGTGGTTCAACAGTCGGAGGTCTGCTGAAAACACTGCATTGGAAGAAAACAGGCATGATGGGGGGAATAATCTGGAAAAAATACTAATACCTCCCCTCCCTCCCCTAAACCCACCCAGGAAGGAGCCTTAAGGCCAGGTTCCTGTCAGGTGGGTTGAAGGAGTTCCAGCCCAGGTGTCAGGCCACCACTGAGAAGACTTCCTACAGTCCCCGTGAATTCCCAACACCCAAATTTTGTCCCCGACCCGGTGACAAAATTCCGCACGAGGACTCAGAGCCAGTGACTAGGAAGGTCCAGTGTGGTGGTGTACGCCTTTAATCCCAGCCAACTCAGGAGATGGAGATCAGACCGGAAGGACTGCAGTTCAAGACCAAAAAAGCTCTAGAAACCCTCTAACAACAAAAGCTAAGCGGCGCCCAGGGGTCCTCCCAGCTATGTGAGTGGCCTAGGTAAAAAGATTCTAGTTTGACACCAGTCCCAAGCAAAAGAGAGGGGAAAGGGCCTGGGAAGGTGGCTCAGCGGTACAGCGCTCACCTTGCATGCCTGAAGCCCTGGGTTCAATTCCTCAGTATACCACGTACACAGAAAGAGCTGGATGTGGCGCTGTGGCTCAAGTGGTAGAGTGCTCACCTGGAGCAAAAAAACGCTCGGGGACAGCGCCCAGGCCCTGAGTTCAAGCCCCATGACTGACGACAACAGAAAAAAAATGTTCATCAAGAGTAACTGGAGACAACGGGCCTGGCTATGGTGGAGAGATCTCCTCTACCCCAACCCAAGTGGGATTCTTGTGGACTTTCATGCCCTGTGGCCTCAAACTGTGATCCTCCGGTCTCAGCCTGTCTAGGATGACAGGCGTGAGCCACCAGGGCCCGGCTAAAAAGTTGTCTTTAGAGTGAGCAGACCACAGAATAAACACCAGTGTTGTGTCCAGGAAAAACAAAAACAAAACAAAAAAAAGCTTATTTCCAATAACCATCCAGTCTCACGATGAAAAAAAAAAAGGCTAAGCTTATTTTCCCTGAAGCACATTCTTTTATTTGCTTCCTTTAATCCTTTCCCAATTCTGCGAGAGTATACCTGGAGTCTCACCTGGGGGGAGGGGGGTGGGGGTGGGGTCTATGCGCTTTACCAGCCTCCTCTGGGTACCCAGCCTCCTCTCAGCTAGACGCCACCTCTGGCCTGCAGATCTGCTTCTCCCCAGCTCCAACCCCAGCCTAATAATCCCAGGGACTGGCCCAGCCCGGGTAGCTCAGTCTCCAGATCGCAGCCTCCTGAGTGGCTAGGATGACAGGCGTGAGCCACCAGCGGGGCTGGCGAAGAAAACCCCAACCCCTTCCTTCCTGACAGTCATTCCTAGAGCCTAACTGACTCGCTGCCGGCTGAATGAATATGTAAAAAAAAAATCCCATTTCCAACTGTCCCCCTAAAGACTCCGACGGTAATTAAGAACTAGTCAAAAAAAAAAAGCTCTTCATTGGGCACTTTAATTAAGTGTGTTAATTCCCTCTGCCAGAGAGAACCTTACTTGGGGACCCAGTGAAGCTAGACAGACAGGCTGGGGCACAGGTGAGAGGAAGGAAGAGGGAGAGCCGTCCAGGTATGGCTGGGCTGGCCCAGGACTTTGGGCATCAGTGGGGAGTCCCTCTCCCCTCTTCATTGGGCCCTGCTGATTGGTGGGCACAGGCCCAGTGAATCCTGCAAGCCTGGCTTCTGATCAAGGCTACAGAGTCAGCAACTCCCGCCCCGCATGCTTGGAAGAAGAGAGGTTGGCGGTAGGGGAGGTTGGGAGACCTTGAACCTGCCGCTGATGGGCGGTGGACCTTCAGTCCAGCACTGTC